TATAACGAATACAAACCACCTCATCTCCTTGGCCTCCTCCGGTACTACATTGTTAGACGAAGCGACATTGAGTACTCTGAATCGGAACCCAAAAACATGTCGTTTTCAGTCAGTGCCATGGACCTTGCCAAGATCGGCATCACGCTCAAGGCCAACAAGACGATGCAGCTCATTGACATGCATCTCAATCAGAAAGGAGCTGTCTTCACCGAGCTCTGCTCGGCACCGCTGTCCCTCGACCGCAACCGTGCAAGTTACCTCTTCAACATGGCGGCTCTTGAGCTGTGCACGGTGGAAAGTTTTGGAGCTGCGAAAGAAGAGGAGTCTGCTGTCTGCTCCCATGTTCAGCTCCTGGCCAATTTTGTATATAGGGAGGAGGAAGTTCAGGAGCTACGGGCGACGGGTGTCCTTCAGAGAGGAGGAGGGCACACCAACGCAGAGGCATTCCGCTTCTTCACGAGCTTCCAGGGTCTGCGCATAGGACCACGCTACTATCGCATCATGCAAGACATCGAGAATTATAGGGAAAATAGGTAGATGAAGACCAAGCTGCACGGGTTTCTCCACAACCACAAGAAAAACCATTGCCGCACTTGTCACCGGCGTTGGTGCGGTGGGCGGGATCATAGGGACACTCCTGTCTATCAAAAAGTCCATTTGATTTGATATATACCCATGACATGGGATGTTGTATCTATGCTTTCATTGTCAATTTCATATTTTATCCATATATGCATAATTCCCCTGTGTATATACTCAAATTAAAGATGGTGCCTGTGTGTTTTTTTATTAAGGATGCATTTTATTAGACTCAAGATAATTATATCAAGTAAAATACAACCACTTCACAGCCTATAATTTTTTTTTTGGTAAAGGTACAAAGACACACCATAGTGACTGTCAAAATCCGTAGACTTGACCGTCATCGTCCACGTTGGTAAAAAATTCTATTGACTACTAGAGAACAGACTTTAGAACGATGTCTCAATTTAGCATTAGCCTCGGCATTTTTTGCCCCCGAGACTAAAGGACCATTAGTCCCGGTTAATAATACCAACCGGGACTAAATATTCCTTTATTCCCGGTTGGAGCCACCAACCGGGACTAAAAAGTCCTCCAACCTTTAGTCCCGGTTGGTAATACCAACCCAGACTAAAGGTAGACCCTTTAGTCCCGGTTTGTAACACCAACCCGGACTAAAGGACCCTTTAGTCCCGGTTGGTAACACCAACCGGGACTAAAGGTCCTCCGATGGGTTAGTTCAAAAGGAAAGCATCCCATCCATTGTAAGATGTGTTGTGTAGGTGGGGTGGTAAGCTCCGCGCGAGGCAGTGCATAAGGTCTTAGTTTCGAATCTCAGGGGGCGCAGCGGTGGGAGGCATTATTTTTTTTTAAAGCCGGGAGGATCTTTAGTCCCGGTTGTGACAAACCGGGACTAAAGAACAACACTTTAGTCTCGGATCGCTAGTCCCGGTTGGAAAACCGGGACTAAAACCAGTTCCCAACCGGGATAAGATATCAAATCTGTAGTAGATATCAAACCAGTTCCCAACAGATCTGTGAGCCGGTGATGACATCAGGGATTGGTTACTCGATGTCACTAGGCTAAGGGCAGTCCCAATAATAGAAACTATGTGGTAATTTCCATACTTGTCAAATCATGTAAATAGTACAGATAGAATATATATTCTCGATGCATAGTTTTTCCCAAAGAAATTTTATCTAATCATATGTTTTCATTCTCCATCATTTACCCTATCATATCTCTTCATATTTTAGTTCCGTATAGACATAATTTCTTATCTAAGAAACAATTTCCTTCTTGTTCTTCTTTAATCCCAATACCAATTCATCATTTTGCTTAGTTGATGCCCTAATTAACGAACATAGAAATTAGTAGGTGCCCTAATAAACTTATGGGTTAAGAGTGCCCTAATAAATTTATCACTACACAGTACAGACTGCACTGCAGCGTGTTGTCTGCCAGCCATTTACAATCTTTTTATTTCAATCCTTCTATACCAACCGTAATTAAACAACAACTTGGTGTACATCCACTTTTAACGGCTTATAGGATATATAGGGTCTGTTTTATAGTATGGTTGATGGTTGCTATCGATCTTGTCTTGATTCGTGAGTGAAAGATTGATGCTGTCCAACCATCATATGTGGTTAGTTTCATAAAGCTAGTGAGGCATCGCCTCTGATTCAGTTTTTGGACTTTACGGCCATGTGCTCAATGCTAAATATACATACTATAAGTATCCCCTAGTATTCTTGTTGATTACAGCTTTCAGTTCAACAACTTGGGCTACCCGTAATGCACTCATGCACATGGACATCATTTGCTTTTGGAAGGACCCCTATAAATGGCCAAATGGATGGTCCAGCCTAGCATGTCCTAATGCCTGGCCAAACATAGATGGCCCGATTATGGTGCGCCTAGGACAACACAATAGATGGATCAGGACGAGCCATTTCAGCCCACAGGCTAGACTTGATCATAGGTTCTCTTAGCGAAACACATGCATAAGCATGTTCTCGAAAAAAGACTTGATCATAGGCCAGTCGGATCGGGTTTATAAAGAGCCATGAAAACCTATTGCTTTTCTCCTTGCCTAGCTATATCTGTCCCAAACTGTGCACTGGGCTGCAAATTCTACAGTATCACACCAGAGTGCCTTTTCGACGCAGCCTTCCCTTGCTGTGTTCACACAAGGCAGCAGTAGATTATGTAAAGCTCAAGGGCCGCCATGTTGAGCAGCACGCTGGCGCGCGTGTCGTCCAGGGACAGTGGCGACAGGGAGAGCTCGGCGAAGAGGTTCCCTTTCTTGTTGACGCCCATGTAGACAAGCTCGGTCGTCTTGCTGGCCGTCAGCGTGATGCTGATCTCGGCGAGCTCGATGGCGCTCACGGAGAAGGACATCGACTCGGTCTCCGGTAGTGTAGGCAGCTTGACGTCGCTTCTTCCGACGATGTAGTACCGGAGGAGGCCGAGGAGGTGCTGCGGCTAAAAGGCGTCGTCCATGACGAACGGCTTCTCGTGCCAGTCCTTGCGGTCCTGCAGACAGCCTCGCAGGGAAGCGACGAACTCCTTCAATGGCACGGGCCTGAACGCCATGACGGCCCTGACCACCAGCCATGGGAGCTGGTTCTCGAGCTGCATGATGTCGTGATAGACGTCGTTGTCGTTGGCCTCGAAGAAGCTGCGCAGCGCCGGGTCCATGTGGGCAAGGCCGGCGTCGGTGCACGTGAGCATGTACTGCACCAGGAAGCAAGCGTCGTAGAACATCATGGGCAGGAACACGTCGTCGCCGATGCTGTCCACCACGTTCCTGTCATAGATGCTCCGAGCGTAGCCCGCGACGGCGACGACCGCCCCATAGACCTCCTCGGCTGAGCGGCCTGACTCCATGATGCAGTGGTATGCAGCCACGTGCTTCACCGTCTCCGCCGCCTTCAGGTGGTCTCAGCCGTGGTGGTATGGGCCGATCGACAACGTCATCGGAACGGTGTACAGTTCACCGAGAGATCGAATTCTTGCTGGGTACCTGTGCATCTTCATCTTCATCATGTCCACGTCGAACTTGAACTCACGCGCGGCTTTATCGAACACATGGATCGGATTGCTGTAGATGTTCGTTTCCATGTTGTGGAAATCGGACTGAACCTCTTGTGCTGCTTTCTCGATCTCGATCCGATCATTTTGTGTGGCTGATGCACACTCAACCAGCTGTCCTCTGCTAGAGCTAGTAGGAACATATGTTTGGAGGCAACTACCGTATATCTCAGTACCGGCCGACTCCACTACCACTGGGAGGCTAGCAGCACATGCACATACTTCTGGTTCCATTGCCATGCTCCAATGTGCTAGCTGAAACTCAGCTGGCTGCATGCTCCAATAGGTCAGCTGAATGTCGCAAGGCACCCATCCTGCAGCTGGTTCCATGGAACAATCTGCCACCCCCAGCAGCGTGTATTTGCTGCAGAAAGTTCTGCGCTGGGAAAGAATAAACAAAGAGTGAAAAAAGAGCTAGAAACACATCAGGACAAATATGATAGCGGAAACACAAACTAATGGTGAGAAAGGAAAAGCTTACAGCCAGGCAGAAAGAAGCACAGTCACGCAGCCATGTGGAACCTCCTCTTATATAGCATAGACAGACCGACCGGCCATGTGAATGACGTCTATCCTATTCACTCGAAGTGGTCAATTGGACTATGTTTAACATAATGGTTGGCGAAGATTCTTTATCTTACTATGGTCCATTCTAAGCAATGGTCATGTATTCTAGCCCCACATGCAAACAAAACAAGATGAAACACATGTGCCTCAGCTGGCAAAATTTGGTGAAACAAGATCCACTGCTATTTGGTGTTGTGTTTGTCTATATATGTGTGCATAACCATTATTCGGGCTAAATGCTCACTTAAGTGGATAAATTAAATGGCGGTTTAAATAGAATAAATGACCGATTGAAAGGAAACGCCATACCACCGTGCAACGTTTAAACGGTGTGCCAACAGGCTAAACGACCATTTAACGACGTAGGCTATGAAAAATCTGTATGGTTTGATCTTTAAAATGGATTTTGAGAAAGCGCATAATAAAGTCAAATGAGGCTTTCTTTATAACATACCTCATAGATGGAAGAACTTTTAGCCTATATGTAAATGGTACAATAATAATATAACTATTTACTATTTACTACTTAGCAATTCACTTGAAGGATCCAATGAGGACTCTCTGCTGCTGCTGCTGATCGATTTTGTTATGGGCCGAAATTTGCATCTGAGCAGGGGCCTAATCGGGTTGGGCTCGGACGAGACAAATTAAAGGGCCGGCCTGCTCAATGAATTCGGATCATCGGGATCGTCGGCTATGATTCCTTTCAAAGCAGTCGAGTCGTCCCAAGATCTAATAAAACGAACAGAAGCGATCGCGACGACCGAATCCCTGAATCCCTCCTCCAATCCAACCCCAAGGAACGAAGAAAGCCATGAAGTGCGCGCGGCGGGCGGATGGGTGGTGGCGATCTTGGATGCAGTCTGCCCGCGTCGGCGCGCCTGCCGTGTGGTGCGTCGATCAATCCCCAAGCGCCCGCCCCCCTCGTTTCTCTTCCTTCTCATGATGCCGGGCAGTCGACCATTGTTCCGGCTAATGAACTCGCGCTACTGCCACTAAATCGAAGCTTCATAGGGCAAAAACAACAACAACAACAACAATAATGTACTGCCAACTCGGATTTAGTGCGATCGAAATCAACCTCGTTTTTTTAATGCACAGAATGTTCAAAGTTGTGAACCTTCTTGTAGGGTTTCATGTACAGGTGATGGTTACAACTGTGAATTCAACAAATTAGTTAAGGGTTCAAGTAAATGTGTACTGATTTTTTTGTGTGTGTGTGTGGACTGCATTACTTGCTCAGATTTAATTGAACCATATTAATTAATCTATTTGTTGCAACCAGTTCAATCGCCTCCACATCCAGCCGCAAGGGACGACTCAACAGGTGCGAGTTGCGCTATTGTTTAAAGTTTAATTAGTCCAAACAATTAGTTATTGTAGATTAGCTATAAAATTAGTCTCCTCGCAAAAAAAAAGCTATAAAATAATTTATACACCAGTCAAATATTTTTATCCTGCAAATACTGCTTTCTAACCTTATTCTTTTGTTTTCTTTGAATTAGTTCAATTCCTCTTTCATGGAGCCACAAGGTATTCCTCAACAGGTTTTTTGTTGTTGTTGTTGTAATAGTCTAGTGTCAGCAAATGTTAGTAACTACCACAAACTTTATTTCATAATAAACATTCTAATATTTCTAACCTGCAAATATAGTTTACGCTGCAGTCTTTAATTTTTAAAGGACTCTTATCTTTAATTTGCCTTTACAGGATCTTTTTCCGTATGCATGCAGACTTAAAAGTTTAGTTTGTTGCTTGCTAACCATATTCATTTGTGTGCATCAGTTCAATTTCAGTTCCCTTGTCTTCCAGCCACACACTACGACTCAACTGATGACACAAGAGGTATGACTTCTTTTTTTGTTGATTATTATTTGCTCTGTGCCTGCAATCTTCACGTATTGATATAAATATTGTGCGAACATTAATTTTTACCTCAGGCTACTCTGTTCGCTCGGCGTGTTTACGTTGGTGGCCTTCCTCCCTCTGCTAACGAACAGGTCCGTACTTTCTTTTTAACCTCAGGGGAAAAACAACTATGCATATACTGCCTAAGTAAACAAACTCAAACACTGTTCCGAATAATCTGCAACTGTTGGCTAAATTGGATTCCTTTCTGCAGACAATTGGAGTATTCTTTAATCAAGTCATGGCTGTTATTGGAGGAAACACTGCTGGTCCCGGTGATGCTGTCTGTAGCGTCTGCATGAACCATGAACAAAGATTTGCTTTAGTGGAATTCAGACTGGCTGAGGAAGCAAGCAATGCAATGGCTCTGGATGGCATTTTGTTTGAAGGGGTGCCAGTGAAGGTTAGAAGGCCAACAGACTACAACCTTTCCCTGGCAGCAGGCTTGGGCCCGAGCCAGCCAAGCCGAAAACTGAATCTTGCTGCAGTTGGACTAACAGCAGGATCAGACGGAGGAGGGTTAGAAGATCCTGACCGTATTTTTGTGGGTGGCCTTCCCTATTTCTACTCTGAAGCTCAAGTCCGGGAGTTGCTTGAATCCTTTGGGCCTCTTCGAGGGTTTGATCTTGTGAAAGATAGGGAAACTGGCAACTCAAAGGGCTATGCATTCTGTGTTTACTTGAACACCACTGTCACTGACATTGCTTGCGCTGCACTAAATGGTACTAAGATGGAAGACAAAACCCTTACTGTCAGACGAGCAAACGAGAGTGCATCTCAGCCCAGACCAGAACAGCTAAGTATCCTATTGAAGGCCCAGCGACAGGTGCAAATGCAGGTATATATAGACCAGCTAGTTGATTGCCATACTAGACACCTTTATAGTTTACTCTCTAGCGTGCCATTTACATTTTCGATGTGCCGTTGTTGTGTTCTGACACAGAAATATGTGCGTGCTTTGTGTACAGAAACTTGCCAATCCAGTTGGAGCGGCCCCTACAAAGGTGGTTTGCCTCGTCCAGGTGGTCAGTGCAGATGAATTGAAAGATGATGAAGCGTATGAGGACATCAAGGACGACATGAGGCAAGAAGCATGCAGATATGGTATATCATTTATACCCTTTTTCGGCTCTTCATTTCGGTTTCCGTCCTACATCGAACTTCTGCTTGTATTTTATTTATCTGCTATTTACATAAATTTCCTAGGAATTCTTGCATGCAACTTTGTTATGTTTATGCACTAATCACAAGAAAAATTACCTTTTGATCAGGTAATCTGGTGAAAGTTGTGATCCCACGTCCTGACCCCAGCGGACACCCGGTCACTGGAGTCGGAAAGGTGAGCCTCGTGTTGCACTGACTTCTAATGTTTGAATTTTGCAGATCTCTTTGTGTGATGGCAAATGATTTCTGATGCAAGTTTTTTCTGTTGCAGGTGTTCTTGGAATATGCAGACGTCTACAGTGCCACCAGAGCAAAGATGGCTTTGCATGGAAGGTAATTTGATGGGAAGCCAGTGGTGGCCAGCTACTATCCTGAGCTTAAGTTTGCCAATTTGGATTTCGATGGATAACTGTAAGTAGCTTCTCGAAGGGAAAACACAATGACAATTATTCTTAAAATCCTTATGTGTATAAACGTACTGTTTTCGTGGTCAATGTTTGTACTCTTACACCGGGAAAGTATCATTTTAACCCTGGGTTTATACAGATCCAGAAGAGGTGGTAAATTTTGATGATGAGCACGGGTGCTTTGTGTTGAGGACCAAAAGTGGCTAGAGGGCTTTGTAGTAATGTTCTAGGCAGTAAAACAATATAAAATAATATTTAGGATCGTCGCATTCGAAATCCGGAGGAAAAATAAGGAAAAAGACGGCGCCAAACTGGTCTGACCGATTTCTCAATCGGCCGTGCCGGTTCTCATGTGCTGCACCGCAACGGCCCTAATAGCCTGGCCTAGCCAGTTTGGGACCTGACCAGACCGGTTTTTCCCTGTTCGAGTCCGAACCGATTACTTTCTAAAATGATTTTTGGATGTGTTTTGGCGTAGAAAACATAGAGATTATGATCTCCTCGTACTAAAATAAGACCACCCATCTGTCTATCTATATCTATATATATAGTATATATATAGTATCTATAGAGCTCAAATTTCTCCCTTTTTTTTGTCTGGCCTCGCCTAACTACTCTCGTCACTCTTTTTCCGTTATCACTTGCTTAAGTTAAAGATGCAAAAACCTTATATTGGTATTGCACCACTCATGTCATCTCCTCACATTACGCCGCATACCTTCTACTTTTTTTTTTTTTTAAATCAAACCCACAACAGTACACATCACACACATATATTTAAGTTTGGTCAATCTCATGCCAATTTCCTTTATTGCACAAACTTCACTATGGGCCTTGAAATTTATTAATTTATAATCAAGCCTAACTAAATATGGCTCCTCACATCCAGTCCCATTTTAGTTTTTTTTAGCTTTTTTTCTGTTTGGATTTTTTCCGAACAGCGCTCGTCGGCCAACGCGGTAGCCTCGTGCGGCCTGTGCCTGTAGAGGGACTCGATGTAGAGCGAAGTGAACGCGCCGAAGCTACAGTTGTCCATGCAACCCGAGCCCGTCGGTGTAGCACCCAGTTTTAAGAACAAAACCAAATACACATCATATGTGAGTCTAGAAAGTCAAATCTCACATATAGCTACAAATAAGGGTAATATCAAAAGACAATGCTTAAATACATAGCGTATTAGTATAAAGATTATAACATCAAAGTATAGACAGCGGAAAGACAACTCCGATCTTCAGGCGAAGACTCCAAATCCACAGGGACAACTGGCTGGTTGATCACAAACCTAATTCCTCCAAACTCGAGCAATCTAGTACCCATCCGGGATTTTTTAAAAGATTTAAAAAGTAAAGCAAGCGTAAATACATATCGTACTCAACAAATATAACATGGGGTTCATGAGGCTCAAATGGCTGACATTGGTTTAACTGCGATTAGCTTTTAATTGTCATAATTTTAGCATAGAAGTAGCAACAAGTTTATCACAAGCCCATATAAACACATGATCAGGTAAACATGAATAATGAATAGCATAAACAATAATCATTAGTGAGCATCTCTATCATCAGTATCATCTGTGTTCATCATAATTAACCATTAGTGATCATCTATTCCGTAAATGTTCCAAGGCCGCTCGTGACCGTGAGCACGGCTGATATACCAGTTTTACACTCTGTAGAGGTTGTACATTTTCACTATGAGTCGTGATTTACCCTTTCGCCCGAGGTAGCTAATCTCTTGACCCACTTCCAAAGAAGGTCGGCAGGGTTCACTATAAAGCCTTTCAAAGGTTCGTCTAACAAGTTAGGGCCATTAGATTCATTCGGCAAATAGATATAGAAACCCTCGGTCGAATGGCATAATTCCATCATACACATAAGAGTAGAGACTGTCCTATACCCGATTCGGCAAGCCATTCTTACGCCAATAGAGATAACCTCTAACATGCTAAAAAATGTCCTCTTACTAAGCTAAAACAAGAGCAATGTAGCCCTCACAGTTGTAACACCCTAAAATTTGCCTCTTTCGGAAATAGAGCTAAAATTATTAAATTTGGAATTTTGTGTTCATTAAAATATAGGAAATAAAAATTTTCATGAAATTAAAATTTAATATAAGGTTTAGAAACATGGATTTGCATACATGTCGATGCATTTGATTTATTTGGTTGAGTGGTTTTGATTTAAAATTTAAAATGGTTTGAATTGCTTTTGAAAAGGAATTAAAAATGGCTATGAACGAAAGAAAAGAATGGGAAATAAAATTTGAAAATAAAACAATTTAAAAAGTTATAAACTTTATTTTTGAAAGCCTACTAAAATTTTCCATTTTTATTTGAGTTGAAAAGTAAATTCGAAACTCTATTTGAATTTGATTTAACTTAGATTTGAGATTGGTTTTGGAAAACAAAATAGAAAAAATTGAAAATTGGGAAAACTCTCCTCCCTCACTCTGGCCCGATGGCCATCCTTTTCTATTTCTTTCTCCCCCCGCGTTTCCGTGGCCCGTTTTCTTCCATTTTTCCGTGGCCCACATCTCCTCCTCCTCCATTTTTCCGTGGCCCGTTTTCTTCCGCGGGCCCAGCTCTGCTTTCTGCCTTCCGCTGGCCTAGCTGGCCGTCGGTCCATCTCTTCCTCCCGGCGGCCCAGCGTCACCCGCCCCTCTCCGCTCGTGGGCCGGCCCAGCTGAAGCCGCCGTGCACCCGCCTCCCTCTCGTGTTGCGGTCATGTGCCTCCTCTGTGGCTGACGCGCTAGGCCCGCTCGTCAGCTCTACCTTCTACATCTGCTCGTCGTCGAAACGGACTCGCACAGAGGCCGTGTCCGCCCTGCCCACGACTCCATCCGTTGCCGTGCCTGTCAAGCTAGACGGTCCTTAAATAGAGAGCATCCGCTCCTGTTTAGTTCCCCACCGAGCCCCAGCACAGCCGCCACGCCTTCCCGTGCGCCAGCTCTGCCGTCCAAGCTCCGTCGTGAAGAAGCCGGAGTCGCCGAGCCGAATAGTCATCCCTCCGTCACGGTAAGCACGTCCTAGAGCTTCTAGCCGAGCTCTATAACCCGTACCACCCCATTCCCCCCTCTCTCTCGTGCTGTCTTGGTCTTCCTGCGCCGTAGATGCTCCGCCGCCGCCATAGCTTGCTGCCCGTAGGCCTATGCTCCTTTTTAATTGCAATTGGTCGCCCAGATGGGTCCGCCGCACCTCCCTCTTGCTCCCAGTGCCTTCCCCATGTCTCATGGGGCTCGGACTTGCCCAAACCGAGCTCGCCGCGAAGCTTCTCATCGTCGTCAATGGCGTGCCGCCGCGACTTCCTCTGTTTCGGCCGTCTTCCTCCACCCGCGCAATCTTGGCTGTCCAAATCTAGATCAAGGGCTAGGAAAAGAACTTACCCCTTCGCATGGAAGTTTAGCTAAAGAGCCCCTCGCTTTTTCAAAAATAGAACCCGCCGTCCTTTGCGTATTCCCAAGTTTCTGTTTTCCTCTTTTAAAAGCGTATTTCGTTTAATTGACTTCAAAAATACGTTTTCAGCTATTTGCAGTTTTGCCACTGATTTTATTTTAGCCATAACTTGTCCGTTTTAACTCCGATTTGATCCGTTCAAATTGCGCTAGGTTCGTAATTTCATAACCTACATGTTCATACTACTGTTAGATGTGTTTTCAACTTTTAAAATTCGTGATTAGATTTAATCTATTATTTTAATAAAGGAAATCTTATTTATTTCATGTCTTCTATGTTTTAACTCCGTTTTAACCCATTCAAGTTGTGTTAGATTCATTGCAACAAGATATACGCGTTAGTAACAGTGGTTACCATATCACTATTTCTGGAATTTCATGGTTTAAATCATATCTTGATTTATAATTATGCAACTGGATTTTATAAATAAAATATGATTTGTTTTACTTTAGTTTTATAATTCAAATCTAAATTTGACTTATTCAATTTATATAAGCTTTTATATAGTTAAAATAAATGAAGCCTATAGTTTTCTTTTCCACATATAAAGCAAATCTATCGATAGATGTATCTTTTCAACCGAAGCTCCGATTAGCGTGCTTTTCGCGTCTGTGTGTTCGTAGCGGGTCGTAGATTCGTTTTATAAACTTTTCATCTTGATTTTATGTTTGGTGTACTGTTCTAATTTAGATCTATTGTTTGCTTCGTGTATGATTGTATGGATGCTTGTGTGGTGCTTTATGATTTCGTCCAGTCGGTGAGATATACGTAGTGATTAAGAAGAAGAAGAAAAGCGTTGAAGATTAAAGCTTACCGAAGGATTGGTGTTTAAGGCAAGTATAGCATGGGATCATCTTTGTTGTCCTATTCACCTTTAATTACTTAATTTATACTGCATGTGTCTACCTTGACTGCCACTAAGGATATCCTAGTCTTTTGTACTTGTACCTTGATACCTTTGGGGTATTGCATTGGGTAGCTTTGCTAGCGCTCAATTAAAGACCATGATCTTGTAACTCGACTAATGGTATATGCAATAAACATTAAAAGATGCTTTTTAGCAACATGGAACAAGGGGTCTAGAGCATTGGGCTATTTTATGGTGCTCTAGATTCCTCTCCCTAAGGACTTATCTGTAAGTGATCATTCGGGACTTACAGTACAGCTGTGAGGGCTACATGGCTCTGGCTTTAGCTCAGTATGAGGACCTTTTCTAGCTTGTTAGAGGTTACCTTTATTGGCGTAAGAATGGCTTGCCGAATCAGATATAGGACAGCCTCTACTCTTATGTGTATAGTCGTGATGGAATTGTGCCATTCGACAGGGGGTTCCTATATCTGTTTGCCGAGTGAATCTAATGGCCCTAACTTGTTAGACGAACCTTTGAAAGGCTTCATAGTGAATCCTGCCGACCTTCCTTGGTAGTGGGTAAAGAGGTTGATCACCTCGGGCGAAAGGGTAAATCACGACTCACAGTGA